ATGCCCTACAAGGGGATTTGGAGGCCATAGTGAGACATGTCTGCTGAGATAGCCAAGGGGTGGGGTGGGGGTCACAGTGGGACCAGACCTGCTCTGGCACACCAAAAGGGTACAGGTATACCATGTATGTTCTCCTTGTCCTCGGCCAACTGCCCCCAGCCTGAGTATCCTCTTCCCCTTTCTGCAGAGTGAGGTGAAGGATCATCGTGTCCTGTATGTGCTATACTATGGACAAAGTTGGCAAGCTGAGCCCTAGAGTGCCATTCTCAGTGCAGAGCCCACTCCAGCTGGTCACTTTCAGACAGAACAGCATCAGCTCAAGGTCACAGACCAAGAACTGCAAAAAATGCCCCTCCCTCCCTGCTCTTAAGGTGAGAGCAGTACCATTCGATGGCATCTGGCTGACACCATGGACCGTTCCTCAACAGCCATGGCCAGTTGTCCTAACAGAGACTCCATTCTGTTCTTGTGGCAATGTGCCCAGCCCCAGGGGATGAATCAAGATTGCCCAAAACCTCCATGTAGCAACACCATTACCCTTGCCAGTGACAGGGTGAAGATGACCATGTGACCCTAGCTCTGGCTGGTGGCTATAAAGGATGTCTGCTGAAACGTGTTGAGAAAGCTTTCTCCTTGGTTTAAAGAACCCCTTTCAAGAAGATGACTATTTTCCCTGCCTTCTTCCCTTGTACCCTAGCTAGTCCTGGGTAAAGACACATGCTTGGAGCTGCAGCAGCCATCTCGCAACCACGAGGAAAGGACAAGAGAATGGCAGACACTGCCCAGCACCCAGGCATAGCCAAGTCAACAAACCCATGACCTGCCAACTGTCTTCCCAGGTTCTCTTACTATGCAAGATAAGTGACCACACTCAGGTATTCTGTTCCTTGGCTCAAAAGCATATTTACTGATCTATGCTTTCCTCAATATTACCATATTGACTTGCTCATTGCTACATAAGTAGTGGTAACCACCATATGAGAGAAGAGGAAGCTGAGGCTCAGGAAGTGGAAGAAGTTGGATGGCAGAGCTGGTAAACAGTGGCACCAGGTCTCAAACTCTGCCCTGCTATGAGAAACTCTGCTCTGCCTTCTGGTATAAATTCATTCAGCTTACAGACTCCCTGGCTTCAGGAGCTGTGCCCCAGATTTTCGAAGCCAATGTGGAAAAGTCCCATTCAACAATTCCAAAATATGTCTGCAAAAGAAATGCCCCAACAGTCGGCTCATTCTAAACATGCTGCTATTATTATAAAGTTCCTTAAATTGCAGCTAAAAAAGAGCAAAAAACAAAAAACAAACAAACAAAAAAATAAAACAAGAAAAAAGTGGAGGGAGAGTAAGCATGCCAGGAAGTCATTGAAAGGAAAGTTTTTTCTTTGGTTTAGGAGCCAGGAAATGTAAAGGAAACAAATGTACCAATGATTTACACTCCATTTCCAATTGTGCCTAAAAATAGGCACCCTGATTAAAAAGGACACCACAGAGCTGTCCTGACATGTGGACAGACTGCCCACAGAGGCAAAAAAAATCTCCGATTGATTTCAGGTTTGACCATATTATAACTAATATATATATATATATATATATATACAGTTGGTGGGAAGGAAGGAAAGTGCTCAAATTTTACTCAGTCTCTGGGCTTTTCTTGTTTTCAAACTGATTGGTCTGGACATGGAAGGCCAACAGCCAACAATAAATCCATTGTAGGCTAGAAATGGTCTCCTCTGAATACAATGAAATATTTCTTTAATCCTTGCATTAAAATTTTTACTGCACTATGAAAGCTGTGCACTCTAAAATTTAAGCTTTTGTAACACTGCTTAACTATACATATAACTATGGTTCATTACTTAGGCAACCTATGTAAAGCATTTTAAAAGCAAAATATGAGATGTTTGCTTTGCATGAATATTTTCAGATCATATTGAAGATACTACCATTAATGGCCCTGACTCAGAAATCTTGGTTTTATATTCTGAATACCATTTCTTCCCTTTCATACCATGGGAAGGGTCTTTAATGATCATGCATTAACATGAATATTCCTTTTTTGTAGCTACATTATCGGTCACATCAGCCAGTTCCAGAAAAATTTATTTCATAGTTCTGTTCCCAAAGGAACAAAGAGAGTGGGTCCCCTATTAACAGTGGCTTTTGTTGGCTTTTTTCCTGACATTAAAATTCTATAGAGCTGCCAAGGATTTCTTTTCTTTAATTTGGACATGGTTTCTGCCTCTGATACTCTGAAAGTAAGTTTGTTGGTAGAAAGACAAGCTGCAACCTCACATCCACAATCACTCCAGCACTGGCTAAAAAGAGACTTGTCAAAGAACAAATCAGAACTGAAACATAGCTTCAGGTACAAATGTTCTTTCCTTAAGAGACTTGTCCTTTATAACTAATGCTTCAAAAAAGTACCCATATAACTAATTAAAGTCAATTATTGGGCTGGTCACTCACATCTGTAATCCTAGCACTCTGGGGGGCCGGGGCAAGAGAATCCCTTGAGCTCTTGACTTTGAGACCAGTCTGAGTAAAAGCAAGACCCCATCTCTACTAAAATAGAAAAATAAGCCCCCTGTCAGTGCCCTTAGCTCAGTGAGTAGGGTATCAGCCACATACACCGAGGCTGGCAGGTTCGAGCCTGGCCCTGGCCTGCTACACAACAATGACAATTCCAACCCCTCCTCCCACCCAAAATAGCTGGGCATTGTAGCAAGCACCTGTATTCCCAGGAGGGAGGGTGAGGCAAGAGAATTGCTTAAGCCCAAGAGTTTGAGGTTGCTGTGAGCTGTGACACCATGTCCCTCTATTTAGGGCAACAGCTTAAGACTCTGTCTCAGAAAAAAAAAAAAAAAGAAAGAAAGAAAAATCAGCCAGGCATTGTGGTGGACGCCTGAAGTCCCAGCTACTGGGGAGGCTGAGGCAGGAGGATCACTCAAACCCAGGAGTTTCAGGTTGCTGTGAGCTAGGATGATGCCATGACACCATAGCCTGGGCAATAAAGTGAGACTCTAAATAAATAAATAAAGTTAATTACTGGCTCCACATTATGTGCTTCCCACAGGCTTTTGTCTTAGTACAGGAACTCACGGTTACCAGCCAGGCTGTCTACATTTCCCATTTAGCAACATTTATGAGAAGAACAGCTGGATCTGCCTGGTGCCCTGGGTGTGGGCTGCCTTCTCACATGAGGACACACAAACAACCAGAAGTTCAGTCCCAACTGTGTTCATGCTGTGTCATTTCTGATTCCCTCCTGGCAGGGAAAATCCAGGCCATTTACTCTTTGGTGAGCTAGTAGCATGATGTGTTGAATGGAACAATAAATTATCCAGTGGGAATCCTAGGATTCTCCATTTTCCCTTTATCTTTCTATCAGGGGCAGGGAGGAGAGAGAGCCCACTCTATCCAATAACTCATTAAGCACTGTAGTTTACCCAGGTAAAATTCAGTGTTGCAGGTGGAGACATGATGAAGCAACTGCAAACCTCTCCCTGATGAAGTTTAGGACTTAGGGATCAACATTCTCCAGGAGTGGCTGCCTTCCCAGGACACCCCTCCCTATTAGAATAGACTCAGTTTGTAAATTCCTTATAAAATAGTTTTACCAGGACCTCTGATTTACTCAGTCAGGGCTTACAGTTTACTTTTACTAAATAAGGGAGGCCTCCTGCTAGAAAGAACGGCCACAGCTATAGCACTAACAGGTAGAAACTTTACTGGCTTTCCATAAATCAATTCAACATCCTGGTCTCTAGGGATTTGCCAAAAGGTAAAAGGCAACAATTATGAAACCATCACTAGGAGTTGCCAGCAGGGCTCTCACCTGAGATTTCTGAAGTCTGCAGGCACTTTCAAGGGGAACATAGGGAATTGTTTCATGAAGCAGCAATTCTGCCCATAACCCAGCTAGAAGAAGTGTAATGATGGCTTAAAGTGACTAAGAAATACCAGAGGTGAACAAAGAGGTGTAGTACAGAGTCTTCTCCCATTCCCCTTATGGTTCCAAATTAACTCAACACTGGAAATGTAGCTCCATAGATAAGTGAAAATCACAGTTCCACTGAGTAGGGAATTGGTGACCAGCTGGCCGGCCCACCCTCTCTCTGCCTTGAAAGAAAGTGGGGAGGTGAAGGAGAGCATGAGATGGAAGGGGTTGTGCTCTGGTCAGTTCACCCTGCCTGTCTCAGTTCTTTGGGGAGGGAAACTGCTGCACAAAAGATGGGGGCTTTGACCAACATTTTGGGTGAGGGCTATGGGGTCCCAAATGTGGCTCCTACTTTGAAGACACACAGGAGTAATTTTAACCTTTAGAAGTGTCACAGAGAATCAAATGCTTGCAAGTAAGCTGTGGAAATCACTATTCCCACGTATGGGACGAGGAAACTCAGGATGTGCTTGGTCTGTGCTCACTGCCCAGATGGCACTGCATGAAACCACGACCCAGGTCGCTGGACCCACACTTTTTTCTTCCCCTGTCTTATCAAGCTGGTGTGGGCAACCCTCAGGCCCCGGGTGCACTCAGTAGCCAGAGCTGCTTTCAAACAAAGCAGAGCATGCCAGGGGCCCCAGCCCTAGAGCCTGTCCCTCCTCCGTGGCCCCTGACCTACGTATACCAGCTGTAGGAACATCAGCTGCTAGTGGTGACACAAGTCACCAGATGTTTCCCGCTCGAGCATCGTCAGTACCCCGGGCGCTCCCCGCTTCGGGTAACGGTGTGTCTGAGCTCCAGGGACTCTATCCCAGGTCTGTTGTGTTACTCCAAAGTCTGTGGTCTTTCCTTTCCCTGCCCATGCTCTTCCCCTACGTTGCCCTTCTGGCTCGCTCTTCCCGCGAACGCTGTTGGGGGAACAAGACCCTGAGGCGGGAGCGGGCACAGCAGGCTCCCTTGGGGCCAGCACACCCTGCTTCCCACCCAGCGCTGGCCACCCCAGGGCCTCAGCGCACTCAGCAGGATCCCCTCAGCACCCTCCCAGCCCCGCGCCCCAGCCTCACCTCGCGCAGCAGGCGCTCCAGGTGCGGCTCGGCCCAGGCTGCCAGTGGGCCCGGCGGCCCCGCGCGCCTGGAGAGCTCCCGCTCTTCCTCCAGCGCTGCCACCCGGCCCTGCAGTGCGGCTGTCTGAGCGCCCAGCAGCAGGCAAGCGGTCGCCGAGCCCACGGAGAGCAGCAGGCACAGCGCGCTCACAGCTCGCGCTCCGGCCGTCGCCGCGCCGCCGCCGCCCGACCGGCTGCCCTTATGCGCGTCACCGTCGCCGTCCCCGCCGCCACCGGTACGCTCGCCGGAGTTCATGGCACGCTCGTCGCGCGTGGGCTCTCCGAGGGGGCGGTTGAGAGCTGGATCCGAGGCTAAGCGCTCGGGGAGCAGGCGGGAGAGCCCGAGGCACGAGGTCGACCGGGCACGAGTTTGGCCTCCGGGTAGCAGCGGATAGCGGCGCACACCCCCTTCTCCTGGGCCAGCTCCTCCACAGCGGCCACTTTGGGCAGTTTCCTCTATGCAAATAGACCCTGCTAGAAAAGGAGCTGGGACCCACCCAGGGGAGGAGCAGCCCAGCCGGCCCCGCGCGGTTAGGGGCGGGGGCGGGGAGGGAGCTGGCTCCTTGGAGCCACCGGTGTGCTGCGGGCGAGCCCCTAGTGCCATAAGCCGCTCTCCCTCAACAGCCCAGGTGCGGAGCTGCACCCTCTCCGGTGCGCACCTCTGCAGCTCCCCAGCCGAGTCCCTGCTGCAATGTCAAGAGGTCATTAAGTGCACCCAACGACACGGTATACTGTCCGCAGCCCACCTTGGCGGAAGCACCCACCATTCGTGCCTTAGGAACACTCCCAAAATTTGCGAATTAACCTTTCTGACACGTTTTAAAAGTTGAAAACTTCAAACCCTGTGGAAAAGGAAAACTTACAGTGGGTCTGTCCTAGATGGTGATTTAGCGCCGCTTCGTGGCTGAAAGCGATCTCTGCGCACTCACGTTTAAAGACTCAGAGTCAAGAGAGCAACAAGCAGAAATATCTCTCTTAGAATCTTAGTTCTCTCACCATTTATTATGTGCCACATGTGGGTGCCGTAAACAGAAATAAGACTTTATTCCTAACCTAGAGAGGGCTGTTGAGAAAACTGAGACTAGAACAAATGGGAAAGATGCGGAAAAGGAACTCCAAATGTATCAAAGTGATGACTTAATTCTGAAGTAGAAACCACAACTTGGCCAAAAATAATTTTCAAGTATGCACCGCATTTAACCTATATTGAGGTTTTGCTGCTAATTTACATCACGAAGTTAAGGCAGGAAAGCTCTGGTGTATACCCTGGGCCCAGAGAAGAGAATGGGGCTCATGTGTAGGAGTGGCTGTAGCCTTGGGAGGTCAGGGAGGAAAGCCGGGTCCTCCTCTTGCTCACAGATTCTTACCATCTTGCAATGGATCCCAATACCTCTTAATATCTGTGATACCCAAATGAAAATGACAAAGCACTAACTTAGATGTTTGGAATTTGGGAAGTCCACAACCATTTTTTAATAAGACCTGCTATACCTATCTTCCCTCTCACTCTCTGGGTATTTTTTGGTTGTCGGACTTCTGTGGATACTTAAGAGATTCTTAAGACTACACGGGGGCATGTGTGCACCTATGCCCAATGACAGGGTGGAGGTGAGGACCTCCACCTAACATGTTCCTTCATATTCCCTTAATTCTGAGAGGTACATTATTTCTGAGATTGATTGGATTATGGTTAAGTGGTTACAGAGACAGTCTTGGCTCTGCACAGTCTTAGCTCTGTGCAAAAATCTAGCGTATACCCAATAAATAGTTTGAAAAATACTTACTAAGCAAACTTCATAGTCTACTCTTTGAAAAGAGGCCAATGCCCCATTTTAAGTTAGCATTTCATTCTTACTACAAACACATAGGTGAACTGTCCACCATCTATGTTAATGTTACTGCATGTATTATTCACTACGTTCCAGAAGCTTCTGTGTATTGAACAGGGCAAGCTCACAGCCTCCTTAGGCCTCTGCCTTTGCCTACTACCTTACTATCTGGAACAGCAAACTCCTTTTTTTCAGGTCCAGGTCTCCAGGTCCTAAACCTCACTGCCTCAAAATGGCCTTCTCAGACTGCCCAATCAAAGGCGCTGTCAGTCTCCTTCAGGAGGATAAATCAGGGCAGTCATTGCTGTTTGAAGTTATCCCTCTGTCCTTGTCACTGCTGTTTCCTCAAAGAACAGACTGGTATTTAACCCCTAATGCTCAGTAAGTATTTGTTGGATGAATATGGAAATGTTTGCCATCTACAACTCATTTTTAAATGACAAAAAATACTCTCTTGTGTCAGTTGGGGTCCTGGCAAGAAAAGATGGCATCCTTAAAAAGGGGTGACTCAAGACAGCCACTTCCCAAAGTAGAGATTGCAAAAAGCCAGCAGGGGAGACTGAAGCAGTGCTTGAGGGCATTAAGAGAGGGAAGCCATTACCATGCCTAGCTTGGAGTTCTGGAAAAGCTTGGAACTATTAAGGGGATTGTTCACAGGAACAGCAGCCTTTGGTTAAGTCATTCCCTCTGCCTCGGGTGGGGTAATAAATGCTCACCTTTCTCTCCTCATGCTCAGGCTCCCAGTGACCAAATCTACAGGACAAAAGGGATAGCCTCCTAAAGGGCAGAGAGCAGTCAGAGGGTAGAGGGCATGTCTGCAGCATCACCTAGCAAGCAAGTCATTCTAGTGACTGCTACCTCAGAATGGCTAACCTATCTGCAACAGACTAATGCCTGACATGGCATTATGCCTCAAAGTTGACCAGTTGGTGGTGACTCCTTTGGATTCCCTCCTTCCAGGGTGGCTACAAAGTTTGTCCCTCACAGGGATGGCTACTGCAGGTTTGGACTTGTCTTTTCTGTGCACAGAGCCTCAGCAGGCATCAGTGTCCAATGAGCATCCAACCAAAGGATCCGCTCAACAGCAGAGGCGTGGGGATGAGCACATGACTGTGGAATCCATTGGTTCATTACATCCTGCACTGGCCAGGCACAAATGAACATGTGGTCAATACTCTGAAAGGACGCAGTGCCGTCTTTTAGGATGTGGTATATGCATTAAAGACAGATCTCTCTATGACACTTTGCTCCCAGTAAGTACAAGGTCCAGGAACCGAGGGGCACAAGCAAGAGTACCCACTAGCTATCACTTCCCATGACCTACTGAAGGATTTTATGCACACTGTCCTCATAATCTGGGTTTTGCAGGGTTGGAGGTCCCAAAGGGGTTATATTCTTGCCAGGTGACATAGTAAGGGTCCCTTTAAATTACAAGGTATGCCTGTTACCCAGGGCACTTTGAAGTCTATATATAGACACCTGAAGTCAAGAAGGCACCATTTTGACAGGGGTGATTCACCCTTATCAACACAAAGAGGTGGGCTGCTTTTATACAATGGGAGCAGGAAAGATTAGGCCAGGCACCTGGTAATATACTCCTTTGCCCCAGTGCAATTGGAACAGACTACTAGAGATGAAAAGGGCCTTACAAACTTTTGTAAAATAGGGATTGAGTCAGATAGAGCTGATAACTACTGTAGATCATAAGTGATATTAAAAAATGAAGTTCAAGTATGTTCAAAATGCTATTCAAGAAGACAAGGGTACATAATCCATTTTATAAAGATTTCCAACAAAAAATAGTTTAAATTAAGCTGTAAGGTTTAAAGGGATAACTTTAATTTTACATGAGACTGCTGATGTAGGAAAGGCAATGATGATATGGTGAGAAAAGCCCAAGGCCTTGACTCAGCGCCTAGATTCTATCAATAGTTCTGGCTCCATTAATAGCTCACAGTACAAACTAAAGCAAGCTAATTACCTACAATCCTCATTTTTTAGTTTCTAAAATGGAGATACTGACAGGGACCAGATTTACTCTCTGAAGTAACTAGAAAACCAAGCAAAAACTGTAACAAACAGCAGTTTTCAAGACACTGGACATCAAGCAACAAAGGCCTGTGATCTTTGTGAGATGGGAAATGAAGTGAACCCAGTGATTGCCCTAGCTTACTACTCTCTGGAGATTTTCCAGACCATGGTGCCCAGACCCAGACAGAGGTAGCATAGGGTGAAGGAGAGCTGTGAGTCCAGGGAAGCCAAGACAGAATTTGCAGAGGAGAGGACTGGAGAGGGGAGAGCAGCACAGAGAACGAGAGGGTTCTCCCTGATGTCTTCACTTGAGTACGGATAAGCATGCGTGGGCGAGGAAACCAACACGCACATGCTTATTGGTGTATTGGAAGACCAACTCCAAAGGATAAGACTCTAATTAGTAGAAACAAATCCCACAGCTCACACAAGGCCAGGAATAGTTCTTCCTACCAGCTAATATGAAAACCCTGATCATTCAGAGGGCATTGGGTAGAGTACTCAAAAGGTTTTTGGCTCATTAACAGGTAAAACACTAACCCTACACTAAATGCTGCCCTGGTCCTGCCTAATAATGTTAAAAATCAAAACCTAAAAAGACCAGACTGATCCAGATACTAACCGTGTCTCTTAATAAAGCTCAAGTATACAGGAATACAGAAATATCCAGCACCAAATAAGGTAAAACAAAAGGTAAAATTACCAGGCATGAAAAGCAGCAAGAAAAGATGACCTATAATAGAAAAAAGGCAATAGAGCAAAACCAACCCATAAATTATGGAAATAATATTAACAGAATTACCAAACAAGGATATCAAAAGTTGAAAAAAAATCAACAGCTATGCAATAATTTCAAGTGGTGTGTAATCTGAATCCCTAAAGAAGAGGACAAGAAAAATATTTCAATAATGGCTGAAAATATTTTTTGCAATTTGATAAAACTATATATGCACATATCCAATATTTTAAGGAACCCAGGCACAAGGAACATAAACAGCCAAACAAGATGCATCATAATTAAATTGCTTGAAATGATAGTAAAGAAAAACACACAATCAGAGAAAAGGACGTATACAAAGGAATGAAGATAACAGCAGACTTCTTTGTTGGAACCCAGAAGATAGGAAACCAGTAACTTTTCTAAGCCTAGCATTCTATACACAGCAAAAACACCTTTCAAAAAACAAATGGTATAGACGCTTAGATGTACAGCTGAAAGAATTTATCACCCTCAAACCCATAATAAAAAGAAATGTTAATGGAAATAACTCAGGCAGAAGAAAAATCGTATCAGATCAAAATATGGATTTACACAAGGGTTAAAGAACAGGGACATTAGTAACTATCTGGGTAAATGTAAGACTATTATTTAAATCTCTTTAAAAGACAATCGATG